ATTAGAAACAACAGCTTCTCCTGGTCTCTTTCTCTTATTTCTCTGGCATCACTACTGATTTTTTTTTTTTTTTTTTTTAGTCTTCTATCACTTGACTAGACCCCATGAGACTAAGGAGTGTTTGTGTACTTTATTTTCAATACCGGGTTTAAAACAATCTGCTTCCTTGATGTTTCGGAGCACAGACGGGAGATAGGATAAATTGCGTGTAGGTGTGTATGGTGGTTCTAGATCCTAGTGCAGTCTCCATGTAGCCAAGAAACTATGAAGCCAGCTCTACTGGCTACCAAGCTATTTTTAAAAGTGCCATGAATTCTAATTTTCTTCCCTAGGTGACATCAGAGACTTTTAAGTTGTCTAGGAAGGGGACAACAGCACAGGAGGGAAAAGAGCAGATCATAAAAAGTATCTTTAGGACAGCATGCACCAATCATCGACCTACCTGCTTGAAACTCAGAGGACAAATGATGAAAACCTCTCTACCTTAACTCCCACATGGTGGCTTACACCTGAAACTCCATCCAGTTCCAGGGGATCGAATGCCCTGGCCTTTGCAGGCACCTGCACTCTTGTGCACATACCCACATGCACGAGACTGTGTGCCTGTGTGTTACACACACACACACACCTATACGTAATTAAAAATAATAAAAATGAATCTTTAAAAAAATCTCAACTGGATGATGGTAGCTTTAATCCCTGCACTTGGGAGGTAGAGTTTGAGGTCAGCCTGGTCTACATAGTGAGTTTCAAGTCAGCCACAACTATATAGTAGAAGCCTACCTAAATTAAAAAATAATTAATTAAAGGTCATTTACAGGAAAGGAAGGCTGGGGAGATAGCTGTCAGTGAAGTGCTTGCTGTGAAAGGAGAGATGTGTGCCACCACGCCCAGCTAAATGGTTTCTTAATCATTTACATGAACATTCTCTTTTTAAAATATACTTTAGGCCGGTCGCTGGTGGCACACGCCTTTAATCCCAGCACTCGGGAGGCAGAGGCAGGCAGATCTCTGCGACTTTGAGCCCACCCTGGTCTACAAGACCTAGTTCCAGGAAAGGCTCCAAAGCTACAGAGAAACCCTGCCTCGAAAAACAAAAACAACAAAAAACCTTTAAAAATCATTTTTCAGGATTTTTATTTTATGTTTATGGGGTTGCCAGCATGTATACACACACACAGAGGTCAGAAGAGGACATCAGATCCCCTATGGCTGGAGCTATATACAAATGGTTGTGGTCTACGATGTGAGTGCTGGAAATGAAGCCCCAGTCCTCTGTAAGCACAGCAAGTGCCCTTAATCACTGAACACGGTTCCCAGGCTGGCCCCAGAATTGGAGTTTGACAGCTGAAGTCACCACGAGGGTGCTGGAAGGGCGGCATATGCTGACCCTGCTGTCCCTGGAAAAACATTCTTACTGGGCCATAAAAGTCGGAAACCTGATTACTAACAATCAATGCACTTAGTGATAATGCTGGACAGTTTATGTCAACTCGACACAAGCTAGAGTCATCGGAAAAGAGGGAGCCTCAAGTAACAAAATGCCTCCGTAAGACCAAACTGTAGGCAAGTTTGTAGGGCATTTTCTTAATTGGTGATTTACCGGGTAGGGCTCAGTCTACTGTGGGTGGGGCCATCATCCCTGGGCTTGTAGTCCTGGGTTCTATTTTTTTCAAAGATTTATTTATTTTATGTATATGAGTACTCTCTCTACATGTACACCTTTATGCCACAAAAGGGCATCAGATCCCACTATAGATGGTTGTGAGGCACCATGTGGTTACTGGGAATTGAACTCAGGACCTCTGGAAGTGCAGCCCGTACTCTTGGCTGCTGGGCCAACTTTCCAGCCCCTAGTGCTCGGTTCTGTAAGAAAGCAGGCTGAGAACATCATGGGGAGCAAGCCAATAAGCAGTTCCCTTTCATGGCCTCAGCATCAGCTCCTGTCTCCAGGTTCCTGACCTGTTTGAGTTCCTGTCCCAATTTCCTTTGACAACAAACAGTGATTGGGGAAATAAACCCTTTCCTCCCCAACTTGCTTTCGGTCATGGTGTTTTATTATAGCAATATAATAATAATATAGCAATATAGTCTTAGTTAGTGACCCTAACCAAGACTAACAACTCTTAAAGAGCCCTAAAATGAGTTCGAGGCCAGCCTGGTCTACAAGAGTTAGTTCCAGGACAGGCTCCAAAGCTACAGAGAAACCCTGTCTCGAAAAACCAAAGAGCCCTCTAATGGCCCACTTCTCCCTTTTATTTCCCCGTAAGTCCCATTTCACTATTATGTTTTTATACATATATTTCTAAAAGGATCCCCCCTTTTTTTCCCCCTGAGACAGGGTTTCTCTGTAGCTTTGGAGCCTGTCCTGGAACTAACTCCAGTAAATCAGACTGGCCTCAAACTCATAGAGATCTGCTTGCCTCTGCCTCCCAAGTGCTGGGATTAAAAGTGTGTACCACCACCACCTGGTCTTCCCATTCTATTTCAAGAGAAAATATAGACAATATTGAGTCAAATAGAATATGATTTAATTTTTCACGTTCTCATTTGAATGGGATGTTTAAACTGTAATATATCAATCATCAGTCACATAAATATAAAGCAGGCTGCCACTTGAGCACAGAATCGCCTCAAACACTGGCTGCATTGGAACTTTCACCCTTCTGGCTCCATTCTCAAGTGCTAGGAGAACAGGTATGCCTCCCTGGTTGTAGGTGGTGCCAGGGATTGGATGCAAAGCTTCCTGGAGTTCCCATTTTACCTCCAGTCACCATCGAATCTTGCTTCGAGAATATATCTGAGATGTGTGCAAACATGTATGAAGGAAATCTTTCCAAATGTGTTTAACTTAAATGGCATCCTGAATCTACTCCTAAGAAAACCACCAAAAACAAACAAGCAGAAAACTCAACCTTCCACTCAGAATTAGAGGTTTACTTAGAAGGAGAAGAGGGACCCACAACAATAGAGGTGGGAATAGAGGTTACAGAGCTGGGAAAGTAGGTGCCCAGGAGCATGGAGAAGTCACTCTGCAAAACAATAATATAGAACTAGCGATTCTAGTATAGAAAGATGTTCAAGACGTTAAGCACTAAAGCTAAATCATGGATTATCAGAGTCTCTGAGATTTATGTATGTGCATAAATGTGTTGAGGAAAAATTTCTTGCAATGATTTAATCTTAATTTTTTTTTTAAATTTTGAGATAAGGTCTCTGTGACTTGAATGAGAATTGTTTCCACAGGCATGTATGTTTGAGTGTTTGGTCCCCAGTCAGTGACACTGTTTGGGAAGGATTAGGAGGTGTGGCCTTACTGGAGGAGCTGTGTCACTGGCAGTAGCTTTGAGGTTTCAAAAGCCTACACCATTCCCAGTTAGCTCTCTCTCAGTGATTCCTGCTTGGGGATCAGATGAAAGCTCTGAACTATGGTTCTAGCCCCACGTCTGCCTGCCTGTTGCCACGCTCCCTGCCATGACGGCCATGGACTTTAACCCTCTGGAATGGTGAGCCCCAAATTAAAGGCTTTCTTTTACAAGTTGTCCTGGCCATGATGTGTTGCCATGCAATAAAAGAAAGTTAAGACAGTCCTATCATGCAGCCTTGTGTCTGTTTCCTGGGTGTTGAGATGAGAAAACCACCCACAGTCAATGGCCACCTCTTTAGAGTAGAACTAGGAGAAAAGAAAAAGTTATAACCTTATTATCCATATTTAATAATTATAAATATGATTTTTACAATGGAAAAATTGAAATTTCTCATTTAACTGAAAAGGCCAATAATGGAATATTGTAATTTTCTAAGTAATCACAATGTTCTATCACTAAGCCTTATCAGTTACACAGCAAGGCATAGCAATACCTTGGAATATAGAAGGAGAGGCCAGTTGTTTGTCCCTGCTGCCCAGAACCAAAATAACCACACAGAAATTGTATTAATAAAATCACTGCTTGGTCCATTAGCTCTAACTTCTTACTGGCTAACTCTTACATCTTAATTTAACCCATTTCTATTAATCTGTATATCACCACAAGGTCGTGGCCTATTAGCAAAGTTCCAGCACATATATCTCTGGCAGTGGATCCATGGTGTCTCTTGACTCCACAGCATTCAGTTCAGTTTTCCCCACCTACCTAAGTTCTGCTCTATCAACAGGCCAAGGCAATTTCTTTATTCATTAACTAAGAAAAGCAACACAGAGACAGATGGACTTGCCATACCATTGGAAGGGGGATTTTAAAAAAGCCCAAGGGAGTTTCTGGTCTTTAGAGATCTGTCCCAGGTGTGACACTGGGGATGAACCCCAGAATATGGGCGGAAGAGACAGAGGGTCCATGCAAGTCCCAGACCATTCATAGTCTCCGGTTGCAGTTTCAGGCTGTCTTAGCCTTAAGGAACAAAACAAACCTGCAGTGGGCAGGCTCCAAAGTTAGAGAAACCCTGTCTCAAAAAATAAATAAATAAATAAATAAATAAATAAATAAATAAATAAAATCTAAAACTACAATAGTATGTAAATTCACTTCTATAATTTTGAAGATTACTCCAATAAAAACTAACTTCAAATAAATATTAGAACACATAAATTATGATTAATGTTAATAGAATTATATGCATCATCTGTACTTCACAAAAATGAGAATCATGAATTTGGAAGGAACCTTAAGTTACCAGTTCAAGTTCAGGCATGGTGTCAAACATCTTGAGTCTCAGCTTGTGTGAGGCTGAGCCTATGAACAGCCTGGGCTGTGTACCGAGTGTGCCACTGGAGTCACCCACCTAGTTCAGCTCTTCCACTCACCATCCTGACAGGGTTGGGACTGACTGGGAACCAGCCCTCCATAACACAACTAGAAATGTCACCTCAAAACGGGATACCGGGTAATCATTCACTAGAAAAGTCAAGCTGTTTGCATCAGTGTTAGTAATTTTCAGGTTTCAAACCAGAAAAAATTAGAAACCACATTACAGGTTGATTTTAATGAACACCAACAAAACGCTGTGTGTGTGTATGTAATCTTTATCAAATGCTTCAAAAACATACACACATAAATTCAAATCCAATACAGAATCTTGTAACATTATCTTTGTTCATCTCAGCAAAATTTGAGGAAATTTCTGAATAAAACTTTATATGTGGCCAGGTGGTGATGATGCACGCCTTTAATCCCAGCTCTGGAGGCAGAGGCAGGGGGATTTCTGTGTAGGCCAGCCTGGTCTACAGAGTGAATTTCACGACAGCCAGGATTATGCAGAGAAATCCTGTCTCAAAAAACAAAACAAAACAAAAAGACCCCTAATACTTTACAATTCTACACATGTATACAGACATACGGTCATTTGGAAGGCAGAACATAGACACAGCATGAGTCTGAATGGGAAAAGTATGTATTTTTTGTAAAGCTTACATAAAAGAACACTATGCCAAAATAAGATGGAAGGAAAAGTGAGACTGGAATAACTCATTTATAAACACACAGTGTGAGATCGCCAGTCAAGGACAAGGAGCTCCGGGAGTCAGAGACACTCTGGCCTCTCCCGCCTCCCGCTCTGTGCTTGAGGTTCGTGGTCACAGGCACCTGTCTGGTTTTCAGGTCTTGATTATCATTACTTAGGGATGTCCTCCTTTCTTGACTGACTAACTCATCAGTTTCCACAGAGCCATAGGAAAAAATGATGGTGAGCACAGACAAGGAAGAGCGGCACTCCGTGGGGCGGGACATCAGATGACAGGCCCAAGAGCGCCACTGCTAGCCGCCTGTCCTAACATAAAGGGAAGCGCCTGTTGCAGCTTAGTTGGAGTACTTGCCTAGCACTGTGAGGCTCTGGTTCAAGCCCAGCACTGTAGAAACAGGCAAGGTGGCAAATGTTTATAATCCCAGCACTTGAGAGTAGACGCAAGAACATGGACCACTGTCCCCCACACTCCACAAAACAAACAAAAAACAAGGGAACAAATCAGAGCTGACAATATGCTCGATACAAAAGAGATTGATAACTTAAGTTTCATGAATACACATGTTCACGTTTATACTAGAAAAATGGCAGGGAGGTGTGATGCATGCCTTTAATCCTAACAGGCAGATCTCTGTGAATTTGAGGCCAACCCGGTCTAAAGAGAAAGTTCCAGGACAAAGAGCTGTTATACAGAGGAACTCTGTCTCAAAAAACAAAACAAAATGAAAACAAAAACAAACAAAAGAAAATAAAAATGACAAGAGCTCTATATCACAAGATTAAACTCTTTCCATTAAACGTCACGCCATTCCCCTGCCCTCTACACCCTAATGACGGAAGTTCATATTGGTACCCAACAGGGACCAGAAACTAAGCAGATTGCTGCTCAACTTCATGTCTGGCAGGATCTGAGGGTGCCATACTGCTTGGGCCAATACAGGGGGCTGGAATTCCACTTTAGGGCCTGGTCACCCAGCATGCCCCCGCCCACCATTCACAGAAGACCTTCAGTGTCTAGTCATGTCCCCTTCAAAAGGCAGTCGTCAAGAGGACGGAAGCAGCAGCCAGCAGATGTGGAATGCTCCTCCTACTTCAGAATGATGTGATAGCTATCACTGGTTTCTGCTGTAAAAAAGATGGGAGAGAAGAGTGAGTTTTGTTTGTTTGTTTTCTTTGTTTTTATTTTTTTGTTGTTGTTGCTGTTGTTTTCGAGACAGGGTTTCTCTGTGTAGCCCTGGCAGTCCCGGAACTCACTCTGTAGACCAGATTGACCTCAAACTCACTGAAATCCACCTACCTCTGCCTCCTGAGTGTGTCAAACTACGGCCTAGCAAGAAGGGGTGTTCTTTAGCCACCTTTAGAACAGTAAGGAAGAAAATTATCTTGTGTGAGAGAATACAGAGTCAAATCGGATGGCCAGGTGTGGTGGCACAGACCTTGGTTCCCACTCTGCAGGAGGCAGGAGCAGGTAAAGTAAAGGTATCAATCTTACACTTTTCCTGGGCCAGAGATACACAGAACGAGGCAGTTTACATCAAACACGCTCACCAAGATGAAACACTGGTATTCTACAATGTACTATGTTGCAAAGCAATAACGCTAGAAAGATTAGGCCTATTAAATGCTTTACAAATATTTATAATTACACTTATTTATTTTTGGGGTGTGTGTGCCATGGCACGCATGCACTTGGAGGTCAGAGAACAATTTGTGGGAGTTGGTTCTTCTCTTTCACTACATGAGTTCTAGAGACTGAACCCCAGTCATTAGGCTGGGTGCCATCCCGCAGCTCTTCTATGCTTTCTATTTATTTGTTTTAAAGGGTTACTTTATTTTTTAAAGTTTTTATTTTTATTTTGTGTGTGTATGTGTTGCCTACATGCATGTATGTGCATCACATGTGTACCTGAAGTGCCCTCTAAGGCCAAAAGTGTTGGACCCCCTTGAACTGTAGCCATAGACAATTATTATCCACATAGTATGTGGGCTGGGAACCAAACCTGGGTCTTCCCCATGAGCAGTAAACACTCTTAACCTCTGAGCCACCTCTTCAGGCCCTGCTTATTTGTTTCTGAGAGAGGATCTTACATAGTCCAGGCTTGTTTCAAACTCACTACATAGAGAATAACGCTGAACTCATAATTCTTTTGCCTCCACTCCCTAAGTGCTGGGATTTCAGGTTTGTGTCACTACACATGGCTTTTAAATACTCTTCTTTTGGGGGAGAGGGATCACAGGGTCTCTCTATGTAGCCTTGGCTGTCCTGGAACTAACTATGTAGATGGGGCTAGCCTCAAACTCACCAAGATTGCACTGCCTTTTCTGCTGAGTGCTGGCATTATTGATTTTCAGCATTTTCAACTTATACTGGGCTTACCAGGATGGGGCCTTACCGTAATGAATAAGTATGTGTAATAAAAACAACACACCTGGATTTCCTCCTTTGCTAAGGGAAGCTGAAAGAGAATGGTAGTGCTGCCAAGTATGCTTTCCTCAAATAATGTCAGGAAGCCGCTTCACAGAGAGAACAATAACCAAGCTTCTCTCCAAACACTCTTCCCATCTCCCTCTTAGGGAAGAAAATATGCAACCGGGAGCAATGCACATGCCTCTAATCCAAGCACCAGGGAGGCTGAGTTAGGAGTTTCCTAGTCTGAAGTCAGCCTGCATTTCATAGACCACATTAAAATAAAAAAAAAAGTTTGTCTACTTTACCTCACAAAGGTAAAACATTAAAGATCTTTTTGTTGTTTAAGAACTAGAATTCATACCAAGGTCTTGTGTATGCTAAGTTAAAACCCTAGTCTGGAAAACCTTTAAAATTCCTTACAAAGGGGGCTGTGGAGCTAACGAATAAAGTGCTGTACTTGATTCCCAGAACAAATATAAAAAATGTCCTGTACTGATGGTGCTGAGTGCATTTAGTCAGAGTGCTGGGAAGGTAGAGACACATCTCTAATGGCAGTCAGTCTAGCCTTCTTGGCAAGGTCTGGGCCAGTAAGAGAGGTTGTACCAAAACAAACAAACAAAGCAAAAAACAAAACAAAAACCCAATGGAACTGGAACTCAGTGGTAAGAACACTTGTTGACTTGGATTTGGTTCCCAGCACCCATATGGCAGCTCAGAACAGTTTTTAATTCCCGTTTTGACCAACACAGCCCCCCTGTTAATACATGGTGCACATTACATATACTCAGGCACATACACAAAATAAATAATGTTTCTAAAGGGGGGTTAGAGAGATATCTCAGTGGTTTAAGCACTGGCTGCTCTTCTAGAGAAATGTAGTTCAATTCTCAGCACCCATACAGCAACTCACACATTTCTAACTCTCGTCCAAGGCATCTGAGGCTCTTCTCTGGCCTCTCAGGACACTGAACACATGTGGTGCACAGATATACATGCAGGCAAAACAGCTATACATGTAAAAATAACACTTTATAATTTTAATAGATTTATATTAAAATAGAAAAAATAAATTTAAAATAGGTGGCTAGTGCCTAAGTAACACTACCTGAGACCGTCCTCTGGCTCAACACATGCATGTTTACCAAGATGCATGTACTCACTCTCTTGTACTTATTTTGGGTTGACTATAAGGTTCAGTGGGGTAACGGTACTTGCTGCCAAATCTAATGACTTGAGTTTGGTTCCTAGAACCCACAAGGTGGAAGGACAGAACCAACTTCTATAGGTTGTCATATGATCTGTGTGTGCCATGGCACATGATAACCCATCTCATACACACGTAAACAGACAATAAGTGTTAAAGCATGTTTTAGTATTTTATTACCTTTCATTGTGTCCAGGATAAAGCAGGCTTCTTCCTGAAAGTTCTGTATCATCTGAAAAAAGCAACAAGATTTGCTGATCAATGTTTCTTTTCACATGAGGCTTTTCATGACATTGTCCTGAAGTAGAAATTAAGCTCTTTTATTTCTTCTGATAGTGTAAAATTTTATAACTAAGCTTTTGACCAGTATAAGAAAAACACTGTAGCTCTAGTTAGCTTAAAGATATCCATTAGTCAGCAAGCTTCAAATTAAAGAATCCATAAATTCCATAAGTCAGAACAACTAACTCTGAATACTGCCTTAATATCACTTACTTTGGAAGGTACTGGCAATGTCTAAAATCCAAAAATTTTTCAAAATAAATCATAACTTTACAAACTAGTCTATTTTTAAGCTAAAATAGCTTTACCTGAGCCTTCCTTCAAAATCAATAGCAAAAGAAACAAAGCATTTGGAAAATGTGGTGCTGAACAAGTCATGGTAGGAGATAAATGTACTAACTTCCACCTCAAGTCAGACCTCTTTCTGCTCCACAGTCCTGAAGAAAGGCGAAGAACATCCTTTAAGCAGTCCAGAGCAGCAGCTGCCTCAAAAGAGCTCTAACCTCAGAAGGGTTTGGGGAGCATGGCCAAAGGAGTCAGATTCCTTTATTTCAAAAGAATTATTTATTTTACATAGCTGATCATTTTTCCTGTATCCTTGTCTGTGAACCGCATGCATGCCTGACCCCTGCAGAGGTCAGAAGAAGGTATCAGATCCCTTGGAAGTGGAGTAGCAGTAGGTTGTGAGCTAACATCTGAGTGCCCAGAACTGAACTTAGGTTCTCTCACAGAGCAACGAAAGCTCTAAACCACTGAGCCCTCTTCCAGCCTCTGTCCAGACTCCACCTTTGATGGAGAGTGAAGTGGCCCCTCAAGCGGCGCTGCTACCTACAGCCCTGCTCCCGCGCTGTGCTACTGCTGCAGACACCTTTTCTCTAGGTGGTCAGTGTCCAGGGAGCGCCGATGAGGTCAGCACAGTTTCCAGGGACTGAAAAGGAAGTCTTTCTCCAGGAGAATCACAAATCCAGGGCTGTTTGAGCTGCAGAGTGAAATTGTCTCAAAAAGCAAAGGAGGGCAGACTCCAGCCCTGAGTGTTTGCCTACCAGGCATGCCTGTCCTGGCCTCTAGGCTCAACTCCAGCATTTCAAAAGACAAAAACAAAGACACTCCTTTCTTTTTACTTATTTTTTTTTTCTCCCCTGAGATAGGGTTTCTCTGTGTAACTCACTCTGTAGACCAGGCTGGCCTCACTTAGGGATCCTCATGCCCCTATCTCCAGAGAACTGGGATTAAAGGCTAAAACACTCCTTTGTAGTCTCTGTGGTCCTATCACAGGGTTTGTTTACAAGACAGGCTCCTAACTCCATGACAAAATGTGCCAGGCCCAGCTTTATGCAGGAAACCACAGCTGCTGAGAGAGCTCCAGGGTGTGAGACCTTCTCATAAAAGCTGGGTTTGGTAAGTTCCTCCTGTAGGCCATCTACAACAATGGTTTGTAATGTGGAACATGCACTTCTTTGGATGAACCCCAAGACTTTGTAAGAGGTACAAAGATATTAACAGGCTCATATAGGAGACCTGACTTCCAGATCTCCAACTTCCAAATACCTTCCTCTACATGTGAGTGTCAGTGTCCAACTTGAGTGACCCAACCACAGTTGTCAAAAGATGGATGGCTTGAGTCAGGCAGTGGTGGCGCATACCTTTAATCCCAGCACTCGGAGGGCAGAGGCAGAAACCCTGTTCTGAAAAAGCAAAACCCAAAACCAAACCAACACAAAACAAAAAGATGGATGATGCTGAAGCAATATCATTATATAATTTTTGGTACATAACTAAGAAATTTAAAAAAAACCAAATTCAGTGATTCTGTTCTAGCAAAACCCCATCCATTCCTGCTTCTAAAAGTCCAATGCACTATCCATCCCTGTCTCTCAATGTAGGAAAATCAAGTTCACGGGGCTTCTATCCAGAGCGGAAAGTGGGACAGAACTGTTGCCATTTTCACAATTCGGGGGCAGCATTCAACTACAGACTAATTAAGCATGCATAGCACGGGCAAAGGGAACTGGGTGATTTCATCAGTATCTCTAATAGATGGATGAGGCCTCGCTGGTATAGTAATGGTCTGGCATGCATTAAGCCCTAGGTTTGACCTCAGCACTGCACAATTGAGCATGCTAGTGCACACTGTAATCACAGCATTTGCAACATGGAGGCAGGAGTTCAAGATCATTCTTTTTTGTTTGTTTTGCTTTTTACTTTTTTAAACAGGGAAAAGCTTTGGAGCCTGTCCTGAAACTAGCTCTTGTAGACCAGGCTGGCCTTGGACTCATAGAAATCTGCCTGTCTCTGCCTCCCGAGTACTGGGGTTAAGGGTGTGTGCCACCACTGCCTTGGCTTCAAGATCATTCTTAAGTGTATGGTGAGTTTGAAGTCAGCCTGCCATACATGAGATCCCATCTTAAAAATCAAAAACAGAACCCCCATAAGAGATGCATGTATAATTCTTTTTCTCCTCTTTTGAGGTTTTAAGGATTAAATTCAATGCCTTGTACACATGCCAAGCATGTTTACCTCTGAGCTGTACTTCAACCCTCTAACTTGATATTTTATAAATACCTACTTCTTGTTTTTGATCATCTCTGTAACTGATGATAATTCTATTAAGAAGAAATAAGTTTTCAACTTGTATTGAAGCAAGTTATTTAGATTAAACAAATTTTTGTTTCAAGGAAGTACAGCAGGACAAAAATTGGGATTTTCAAGCATAAAAACGTAAATTTAAAAACTACGGGAGGACTAGAGAGTGGTTAAGGGTGCTTGTTGTTTTTCCAGAGGACCTGGGTTCAGTTCCTACCACCATTAGGCAGCTCACAACTACCTGTAACAGCAGCTCCAGAGGACTGGACACCCTCCTCTGATCTCATACACACACACACACACACACACACACACACACACACACACCATTTAAAAACAAAACAAAAACAACTCTGTGGAAGTCAGGCTAACACACATTTATAATCCCAGCAACAGGGAAGCAGAGGTGGGAGGATCAGAAGTTTAAAACCATCCTTGGCTATCAAGAGGCAGGAGCAACGGTTAAGTCAGTGGTAAAGTGCTTGCTGTGGCCTGTGAGTAAGGCCCTGAGTTTTAATTCCTAGAACCCACATAAAAGTTGAGCATAGTGGCATGTGCCAGTAAACCAGCAGGTCCTGGAGCTCATGACTGGCTTTACATGGGTAGTGGGGGATCCCAATTCAGGCCCTAACATCTGTTCAGCAAGCTTTTTACCAACTGAGCCATCTCCCTAACGCCATTTTAAAATGGGCTGTGTGTGTGTCTAGGAATGACATTTTTTACTCAAGTGAGAAAACTTGTAATTGTTCAAACTTTTTTAAGTTGACCTAAAAATGTGCAAAGGATACATGGTTTTGTGTGTGTGCACGTGTGTGCACCCGCATGCACACATGCATGTGTATGAGGTGCATATGTATGTGTGGTGTATATATGATATATACGCGCACGTGTATGAATATATAATCACACAGAGGCAAACTCTAGTATCAGGTGTCCTCTATCACTGCCCACCTTATTTTCTAAAGAATCTCACTGAACCTGGAGCTCACTCCACGATCTGGTCCCATCAGCTGGGCTGGCAGAGCACAAGCTCCAGCGACCCTCCTGTGCTAGGGTGACAGCACATGGAGGATGAGCACAGCCATCTTTAAAAGAAGCAAAAACAAAACATGGTGCTGGGATCTGAACTCTTATCCTCACACTTGTGCAGCAAGTACTTATAACTGCTGAGCCACCTCTCCCTCACCAGATTTTGGTTTTGTCTGTTTTTGAGGAGGGAGGGGGAGTCACCATTTCATGTATACCAGGTGGGCCTTGAACTTACTACATAGAGATGAAGTTGTATTCATGATTTTCTTGCCTCTACTTCTCTTTGTGCTGGGGCTACAGGGGTGCATCAACACCCCCAAATTTAAACATAATTTTTAAAAATTAGGAGGTAAGCAACAACAAAACTAAGGATGCTGAGGCAGGAGGATCATGTGAACCCACAAGTTCAGGGTCCGTCGGGCCAAAATTGCAAGACCATGTCTGTTAAATTTTTAAAAGAATTAAAATTAAAAAGCTAAACCTTTCAGTAGAAAACAGAGTCCAACCCTGGCAGAGTACTCTGGTCTTGGTGCCGTCACAAACTAGGGTACAGCAGGTAACTCAACAGGACTGAGAAACTGACCTCATCACTGATGAGCACATGGATCCCTGTTGGCCCTTGCTTGTAAATCTGGCTGATCTGGTGAGGAGAAATACTGAAAAGTTGAGCGATTTTTTCTGTTAATTCAACAGCTGTCAGTTCTTCTAGATAGATAGCATGGTACACTGCAAAAGAAAGCACAGCAGTCAGTGCAAAGGCCGACGGCACCTGCAGGTGGCTGCTTGTTTTAGAGACCCACACATCACACAGCCGGCCTGCAGACCCTGCCTCCACTGCCCCTTTTCAATGTGAACTAGGACAAGTTACTCAAAAAATCTAGTCCTTTCCTTTTTCTAAAGACTGGGGGAGAGAAAATCTACAGCACGATAGACATTACTGGTTTTAAGAATTCAAGCATAGCCAGGTGGTAGCGCACACCTTTAATCTCGGCACTCGGGAAACAGAGGCAGGAGGATCTCTGTGAGTTCGAGACCAGCCTAGTCTACAGAGCGAGTTCCAAGACACCAGGGTCACATAGAGAAACACTGTCTCAAAAAAACAAACAAAAAAGCCCAGAGACAAATATTGGGGTTCAAGCTGAAGACCAGAAAAGCAAAGCAGCCAACCACTACAGATATCTTTCACCTCTACCAACTCTGCAGACCGAAAGGGCGAGATCCTGTCTCCATGAATCCTCAGACTGCACCGAGACTGCACTGAACTCGTGCCTTATATTCCTCTCTAGTGCTGGGATCAAAGGCGTGACCTCTGTTTCTCTATTAGATTGATTCACTTTCCTGTAGCTCAGGGTGGCCTTGAGTCCTGGGATTAAAGGTGTGTGCCACCATTCCCTGGCCTGTATGGCTGACTAGTTGTAGCTAGCTTTGTTCTCTGGTCTTCAGGCAAGTTTTATTTAATAAAATGCAAATAAAATATCACTATATAAGCATATAAAAAGTACTGGAATAGCACCTGGCATAGATTATGAGCTCAATAAATGTGGGCAATTGCTATTACTTCCAGAACTCTAATGCTGAACTGTTCTAAACTCTATTACACCTGCCCATGAGTCATCACTTCTTTCTCCCTACCTGTGCGGGTCTGCCTAGAACAACCTACCGAAGAAAGTACCATTGGAATCTCCATCTTCCTGCTTCTGTTGTGGTGGCTGCTGCTGCTCCCTCAACTGCAATGATTCCTGACAGACATAGATGGTTAGCCGTGGACGCACCATCCTGTGAGGGAAGAAAAGGACTGTCGGCTTTCCACTGCCTTCCCATTGTAAGCACGCAGACAGGTAGATCTGAGTCCTACGTCACCGAGCAGAGCAGAGAGGAACTCTATTAGTGCTGCTTCCTCATCTCAGTGGTGGGCTCTGTTGATTAAGCTGACTGGTTCCAACAAGAGATACCATTTAAGCTTCGAAATTCTGCTCTCCCTGAAGTTAGACTTGGGGTTAGAATTGTGGCTCAGTATTAGACTATTGGCTTGGCATGTTTAAGGCCCTGGGCTCTGCTCTCAGCATTGAAAGGGAAAGGGTAGAAGAGGAAAAGTAGGAAGAGAGGGGAAGAGAACACTAATGTTAGCTTAGACCTGGCAATTGAGGCTCCTCATTCTCCCAAGATTTCTTCACTGACTTTGACTATTGTTTCTTTGCATGACAATGTAGTGCCTACAGTCAACCGAGTTTGTGAGTTTTGGAGTTATGGTTAGAAATATTCAAAATGTAAGAGTCACCGTTTTATGTAAGGGTCAGGTTCTAGATATAATCTTTACTTAAAAATACTAATATATGACGGGCAAGATGGCTCAGTTGGTAAAGCGCTTGTCACTTGAGAGAGAGGGAAAGAGAGAGAGGGAGGGGGAGAGAGAGAGGGATGGAGGGAGAGAGGGAGAGAGAGAGGAAGAGAGAGAGGGGGGGGAGGGAGAGAGAGAGGGAAACACTGCACAGTAAAGTGGATGATCTCATCTTCCCTAGCGCCTGCCCACCTGCCCGAGCAGCCTCTCTCCCTCCCACTTACTCTCAGCACTTCTTCATCTGGTCACCTCGTTCTTTTCCATTTCTAAACACTTCTTAGATAACACCCTTAAAAATAAAGGATCTGTTACTAACTTTTAAATTCTCATTTCTATTACCTATTATATTTATTTTTGTTGCATTAGAGATTGAACCCAGGGCTTTGCACATGTGAGGCAAAGGTTTTTCCGCTGAGCTACAGCCCCAGTCTTTGAAAAATCTTCTTTTCCTTGGGTCAATTTCTGACCACTAGGCCATCTCTCCAAGTTCATGCTTGAATTAAAAATTGTGTGTGTGTGTGTGTGTGTCTGTATCTGTATGCCCACAGAGACCAGGAGAGGGCTTCAGATCTCCTGGAGCTGGAGTTCCAGGTAATTGTGAGCCACCCAATGTGGGTGCTGAGAACCAAACACAGGTTCTCTAGAAGAGCAGGAAACACGCTGAACTCTGAACCATCTCTCTTGCCCTTAACCCTTGAATTTTTATCTCCTTCTGTGGTGGTTTGAAAGAAACATGGTCCTCAAAAGGGAGTGGCACTATTAGGAGGTGTGGCCTTGTTAGAGGAAGTGTGTCACTTAGGGGCGGGCTTTGAGGTCTCTTGCTCAAGCTTCACTCAGTGTGACACTGAGACCATTTCCTGTCGCCTGCAAAATGAGATGTAAGACTCTCAGCTACTACTCCAGCGTCATGTCTGCTGCACACATCCATATTCTCTGACATGATGATGATAATGGACTGAACCTCTGAACTCTAAGCCACCCCAATTAAATGTTTTTCCTTTATAAAAGTTGCCATGGTCATGGTGTCTCCTCACAGCAACAGAAACCCTGACTAACACACTTTCCTTTAAGTTTTCCAAAACTGCCAGGGTGGCAGCACATTCCTGTAACTTCAGTGTCAGAAGATAAAGGGAGACTAGGAACTCAAAGCTTTATCCTCAGATTCATACAGAGGTTGAGGCCAACCTGAGTCATATGAGACTGTGTTTCAAAAACAAAATTTCCGAGACTACAGTCAGTTCAATGCATTATGTTTGTGAGGTATAGAGATACAAATTCTTCATAATTTATTTATTCACTGATTCGATTCTGTTATCACTGATCTAATTTTCCCCCTATCAATTATTATTACTAAGCCAAACATGATACTACATGCCTGTAATCCCATCACTTACATGGTTGGGGCTGGAAGCTCTGAGTCCAAGGCTAACTAGGCTACACAGCAAATTCAAAAAAATAAAAAATAAGAAACATTTAAAAACAAAAAAAATAGAGCCGGGCGGTGGTGGCGCACGTCTTTAATCCCAGCACTCGGGAGGCAGAAACAGGCGGATCTCTGTGAGTTCGAGGCCAGCCTGGTCTACAAGAGCTAGTCCCAGGACAGGCCCCCAAACTACAGAGAAACCCTGTTTCAAAAAACAAAAAACCAATCAAACAGACAAACAAAAACCAAAAAAATAAAACAACCCCCCCCATCTCAAAAAGGATTAAGATGACCCTTTTTTCTCTTGAGACAGGGTTTCACACTACATAGCTGATCTGGAACTTAAATATATACACACTCTCTCTCCACAGTGTCCTTTCTAACTACATCAGCATATTCTATAGACCACAAACTTGCTTTATTTTGTTCGTTTTGTTGAGACATGGTCTCTGGTACTCCAGGGTAACTTGAAGCTACACAGTCAAGGATGGCCTTGAGCTCTTGGTCTTCCTGCCTCATCCTAGGACCTGAACTATAAGCTGAGCCACGTGCAGCTTGTCTGTGTCCTTTCAGAGCTCGTAGCACTACCTAAAACACCTACTGCTCTTCACTATGGGCACACTGTCATCAGTGTACCCCACAACCTGCAACAGTGCCTGTCTTCTCATAGAGACACTAACTATTTACCCAAGGAAAGGACCTGGACACTCCGAGAACTGCCTATCACAAGGAGTTATTTGGATCAAATGTAAGAAATAATATTCTACATTTATGTTTACTTGGTACACAATGGGATTTTTTAATAAAGTTTTTTTTTCTTTTAAAAGAAATAAAAGATTTCTTTAGCATGCACGCATGTTGTGTGCAAGTGTGTGTCTATGTGTTTGTAGTGGGGGCACATCTCAGAGTACATGTGGAGGGTGGAAGTCAAAGGACAACTTCTGAGAACGAGTACTTCCTCCGTGTGCTTTCATCTCTTTACCTACTGAATTCACTGGATCAAGACTAGAATTTTTGAGACAAGGTTTCTATGTAGCTTTGGAGTCTGTCCTGGAACTAGCTCTTGTAGACCAGGGTAGTCTTGAACTCACAGAGATCCACCTGCCTCTGCCTCCCGAGTGTTAGGATTAAAGGCGTGCACACCACTGCCCAGGTAGAACTTCTTTTTTTTTTTTTTTAAGTTTTGACAAGATGTATTTATCTGTGTAGAATATTGTGAAAAATTCCAGAATGTAAATTCATGTGAAATCCAATCTGACTGGTATCTTAACCACTGGCATCTTAGAACACATACCGGCCTTTTAATGCATTAAAAAGTCTGATTCCATCTGCAGGGCCGCAGATTTGGATCACATCATCTCTAGTTAGTTTCAATAAATCTGCCCCTGGAATAAATACGGGACAAAAAGGTTAACAATAAAGGCAAAAATTACTTTCGTAAGTGACTTTTAAAGTGGACTCTACTTTGAGGACACCTCATCAGCAGTCCGTTAGAGTCTTCTGCAGTGGACAAAGCCCTTGTGACCTGGCCTCTGCCTCATCTTCTGTCTCAATCCTCAGTCAATTAACTTTTCCACTTAACCCTCCGCTTTGACCAGACAGGGTGCTAAACAGGCCGCTTGCTTTTTCTGCCAGAAACACCTTCCATAGTATGACAGACTCAGACCAGCCCCTCCCCAGCTTCACCTCACACACTGCTGCACTAGTACTTACCTAGTAGGTTCCATCTGGATTTTTCTTTTACACACATGATAAAAGAGTGCTCTCATTGGTACATCTTATCAACTATATGTTCCTACACAGATGCACACAGAGGCCCCTTGATAAAGTATTATACGGAATACCCATTTAAAAAGTGCTATACAGAATAAACATTTTATGGTTTAAATGAGTTCAAACTGAAAGTTGCTTCTTTTTTTTAATTATTTATATTTGTGTGCATTGGTGTTTTGCCTGCATTTTAAGTCTCTGTAAGAGTGCCAGGTCCCTTGGAACTGCAGTTACAGACAGTTGTGAACTGCCATGTGGGTGCTGGGAATTGAACCCATGTCCTCTGGAAGAGCAGTCAGGGTTCTTAACCACTGTGCTATCTCTTCAACCCCGAAGCTGCTTCTTTTTAAGAGTCTCCCAGTATAATCGTAGCCAATTCAAAGTGTTTAGTGAAATTCATTTTATCAGAAAAAACAGACTGAGACACCGCTGCACACCACATGTACACCAAAAGGCCCTACAATGCACATGAGTACCCCATGCTGGAGAAGGCAAAAAGAAAAACTAATCTAACCTGAGAAGTTGGTGAAGAGTCTGGTGAATGTGGAAAACCGGTTTCGATGCAACCACTGTTGGGCTTCCTGAGGCGTGGTTGTTGGCAAGAGGTTCTGAAAGAGAATGCATTCTTTTGTATGCGAATAGTTTACCTGTTACCTCATTAGATAAAATAACCAATCACTTCTGCACTCTACAACCACACAGGTAGTGTCTGGAAACTGTTTCTATCACACAGGGTCTTCTCTAACCATGATAAAGATATTTCACTATCAAACTATAAGATCTTCATAGTCAAGGGATCCTGTAGTGGCAGCTACATGGGAAATCACATGAGCCTACAGCTCACACTAGACCAGCCTGGGCAATACAATAAGATCCATAAAAAAAGAAGAAACAGCCAGCTGGGGCAGGGTACACCTGTAATCCCAGCACTTGCAAGGCTGAGGCAGGATGACCACTATGCATCCTAAGCCAGTCCAAGCTGCATAGTGAGTTCTCGGACAGCCTGTGATGTACAGTCAGAGTCTGGCTAAGAACAAGCAAACCAACACAACAGCTTTCAAGGTCCTGCTTGCACTTATTTTGTTTCCGGTCCCTAGGATAATTTCGAGTTGGCTGAAATTCGGTAAGCGTGGGTGAATAACAGCCTCTAGTCAGCTAGCCCACTGGCATCTGGCAATCACAGTCACCACAACAGCACTGCACATTACGATAACTGACATTGCTTGAGACTTACGTCAGTGACTGGAGGGGGTGGCTCTGGCTGGTGGTTTGGTGAGCCATTTCTAAGGAGAGACATTGAAGATGAAAGGATGAGTCCATGGTACACTCTGTAGATTACCTCCTGCTTCTGTGTCATGGTGACTCTTAAGTTGAGAGCTAAAAGGATCTCTACTTTATCTGAAAACATTCTCTGACCCAGTGTTTCAGCTGTGTGCTGATTAACTCAGAAATTTCAGGGAAAGGGAGAAACTATGTCACTGAAACATTTTTTTTAATAACTGAGGAAACTAGGAAAAACATCAAAATATCAGTAAATAGAAACTGATAGATTAAACTATGGCATAATAAATATCTATAAGGGGCTAGAGATATAGTCAGCAGTAAAGCATCTCCTAGGCTGCATAAGGCTCTGAGCTCAACATAGGGAAAAACACTGGCTATAAAAGTCCTAGTGCTTCACTGCTATAATTATGCATCACTATATTAACCCTATCAGCAGCCACACATCCAACACAGAAGAATCAGAAGAAACTGTATGCTATGACCACACACGGGGCCGGGCACAGTGACCTGCGCCTTAAATCTCGGCACTCAGGAGGCAGAGGCGGTGGATCTCCATGAGTTCAAGGAAAGCCTGATCTACATAGTCAGTTCCAGGTCAGCCAAGGCTAAGTGAGACCCTACTCAAAAAATTCAAAGACAAACAAACCAAAGCAACAATAACAAAATAACTATTCTGCTGGGGGCTGAAGCCAGTTCCTTCTTTGCATGTGCTAGCAATTGCTATCCCACTGTACTACCTCAGTTCTTCAAAACAATTATTTTTCTGAGCTGCCATGTGGGTGCTACGAACTGAACTGGGTCCTTTCAGAAAAACAGTCAGTGCTCTGAACTGCCAAGTCATCTCTCTAGCCCCTAGTTGTTAGTTTTTAAATGTTGGTTAATTATTGTTACTGTCTGTATATGCTGCTGGGTGGTGCAGGTACGAGGACAGTCCTGTGGGGTCGGTTCTCCTTCCATCTTTACATGGGTTCTGAGGATCAAGGACTGCTGGGCTCGACAGGCAAGAACTGTTGGCTCAGGGCTATCTTGCTGGTCCAATTCATTTTTAGATCTACTTACTTACTCACCTGTCCGCCTGCCCGCCCATCCATCCATCCGTGAGAGTGAGTGTGTGTCTGTAAGAGTATACCCAAAGATCCATGTCAGTGTGTATACCTAATTATCTACCTACCTACCTATCCATCCATCTGTCAGAGTGTGTGTCTGTGAAAGTATACGCAGAGATCTGTGTCAGTGTGTATATTTAATTATCTACCTACTTACTTACCCACCCACCCATCCATCTACCCATCCATCCATCCATCTGTGAGTGTGTGTGAGTGCGCATGTATGTGTGTGTCTGTGAGATTATATTCAAAGATCT